GTTCTTATGACCTACACATCACCGTGACTTCACTAGAGGACCAGCTGTATCGTGACCTGTCCCTGAGTTCCACCGAGGACCATCCCAAGGGCAAGTGTTCGTGCAGTCCGAAATCTAGTGGGAGGTGTGTGCATTGTAGTCGGGGATTCGATCGCTAGAATATTCTTGGATGTCCTGTGTGTTCTGATAGTTTGTAATCACTTTAAGTCTCTGGCCAGAGCTGACTAAGTGATGATTAGAGAATTCGATTATCCAAGTCATGCACGTAACGATTACGACACTTAGAACGATCGCACGGTCATTGAACAAATAAAGAGGTCTCGATGAACCAATGCCTCTAGTTTAATCGGGGCATATGAATCGAAGGGATCGTACTGTACGTTAACTATATCTGAAGGTTCTTGCAGGCACTTCATTTGTATCTAGGGAATCATGATGCGTAGTTGCTAGACGCCAATCTTGATTCGTTGGGTGATTAAGGTGAAACGAGTTTCATCTTAATCGTAACTCTAAGGGACGAGTTTTGAACACAAAGGGTTGTGGGCCCACGGCTAGCTTACACCTGAACCATTGAGGGTCACACTGCTCGTGCACATGAGATCTTTGAATAAACTGTCAGAGATAAAATGGTTTATCTTTGCATGATTGGAAGTCAATATGATTGGTCCAACATTCGTAATTTGGAATTATGAATGAGAATAAGAAAAGGAAAAGAATAGGCAAACATCTTAGTGGACTTTCTAAATCGGGAAGTTTCCAAATTTAGAAAGTACACTTAATTAGGGTTTCCACTTTTGGAAAGTTGGAAATCGAGAGTTGGCACTCGTAATGACGATGACATTATAATGATTCTGAAAATGTAATCGTTACAATTTTCCGATCATTGAATTGAAAGAGACGAGCAAGTAAAAGAACTAACGAGCTTAAGTTGTTGGACCCGGTCCAACTTAAGCCCGTTAGGGTTTTATGCAAGACACTATAAATACTTGATTTATAGGTCTTGCACACACATAACACACGAAACCCTAACCCTAGCCGCTCCCTCTCTCTCGGCCACTCTTCCCCGCGGCCACCACCGACGCCGTCGCCGGAATCTTGCCGGAATCGGCCATCTCTTGGTCGATTCGCATTGGTAGCTCTTTCCTTCTTTTGTTCTTCTGTTTTTCTAACTATTACGTGTCTAGTGCCACGTGTTTAGTAGATCGAAGTATACGAGGTGAAATCCGGGAGGAGGAAGATCGAAGATCGAAGAATCGAGGAGCAGCACACGAGCCGACGCCGCACGCAATCCCACGCGCCGCCCGAAGACAGTGCGTGAACCACACGCGCCGCCGTAGCTCGTCTAGTAGCTGTTGTCGTTTCGCCGTTGCTGCCCCGGATTGCACGGATTGGTTTCCGTGGCAATCTTGCTTTGCATAGTGCGCCTACCTCACGCTTCAAGGGGTAAATTTTCGAATCCATTGTCGTTAGATTCAATTACGTTTAAATTGAATATATATGTTCGTTCTAGTATGAAACTTGTATGATTTTATGTGACTACATGAAATCGTTTATTTATTGCGAGCATGATTATTTGATTTAAACGCGAGCATGCTAATTGATTTAAATTCGGTTGAATAATTAAGCATGTATGTTGTTTTTAATTTCGCTGGAAGCACAAAGGTACGCAATTAATTGTTTCCAATTATCGGGCATGTGTTTATGTGTTTTAAAGTTGTTTAAATCGCATAAAATTTTTGTTTTCCGTTGCGTACACGTGTCCGATTCCCAACACATTCTACCAATTTTACCAAAAACCTGTATACTATAGTATACAGTTTTTGGTGATTTTCATCTTGAAAACGTTTTTTGGACGTTCCACCATTTTTTTACCAAATTGTGTGTACAATAGCATTCAGTTTTTGATGATTTTCATCCTGAAAAGGTTTTTTGGACGTTCCACCAATGTTACCTAAAATTTGTGTACTATAATACATATTTTTTGGTGATTTTGATTGTGAAAAAGGTTATTGTAAGTTCCACCAATTTTATCCAAAAATTGTGTACTAAATTATAAAGTTTTTGGTGATTTTGATCGTGAAATTGTTTTATGGATGTTGCACCAAATTTTACCCAAAATCTATGCACTATAGTATACGGTTTTTGATGATTTCGATCGTGAAATAGTTTTTTGGGCGTTCCGCCAATTTTACTCAAAATATGTGTATTATATATAGTATACAGTTTCTTGTGATTTTGATTGTGAAATAGTTTTTTCGACGTAGCACCAATTTTTACCAAAATCTGTGTACAATCGCATACAGTTTTTGATGATTTTCATAGTGAAAACATTTTTTGGACGTTCCACCAATTTGACCCACAATATGTGTACCATATTATATATTTTTTGGTGATTTTGATCGTGAAAAGGTTTTTGGAAGTTCCACCAATTTTATCCAAAATCTGTGTACTAGTATACAGTTTTTGGTGAGTTTGATCCTGAAATAGTTGTTTGGATGTTGCACCAATTTCACCCAAAATCCAAGTACTATAGTATACAGTTTTTGCTGATTTTGATCGTGAAATAGTTTTTTGGACGTTCCGTCAATTTTACGCAAACTCCGTGTACGATAGGTGATTTTGATTGTGAAATAGTTTTTTCGACGTTGCACCAATTTTTATTAAAATTTGTATACTATAGCGTACAGTTTTAGGTGATTTTGATCTTGAAAAAAAATTTGGACGTTTCACCAATTTTACCTAAAATTTGTGTACTATTATAGATTTATAGTGTACTGTTTTTGGTAATTTTGATAGTGAAATAGTTTTTTGAACGTTCCACCAATTTTAACTAAAATCTGTGTAATATTCAACTTTTGGTGGTTTTGATCGTGATAAAGTTTTTATACACACTACACCGAAAACACACACTAAAAAAATACACACACTACACCGAAAACACACACGAAAAAGAATTACGCATACTACACCGAAAACATAAACTAAAAAAATATACACACCCTACACTGAAGACACACAATAAAATATACACACACACTACACCGAAAATACACACTAAAAAATATACACACACTAAAAAAATTACACACACTACACTGAACATACACACTAAACAATATACACACAATACACCGAAAACACACACTAAAAATAATTAAACACACTACACCGAAAACACACACTCAAAAAATAAACACTCACTACACCGAAAACAAACACTAAAAAAATATAAACACACTAAACCGAAAACATACACTAAAAAATACACTCACTAAAAAAATTACACACACTACACCGAAAACACACTAAAAAAATATACGCACACTATACCGAAAATACACACTGAAAAAATTACATACACTTAAAAAAATACATACACTTCAAAAATACATACACTTAAAAAATACATACACTTAAAAAATATACAAACACTTAAAAAATTACATACACTTAAAAAATTACATACACTTAAAAAATTAAATACACTTTAAAAAAAATTTAGTGTGTGTTTTCGGTGTAGTGTGTATAATTTTTTTAGTGTGAGTTTTCTGTGTCGTGTGTTTATTGTTTTTAGTGTGTGTTTTCTGTATAGTGTGTCTGTGTGTTTTCGGTGTCGTGTGTGTATTTTTTTTAGTGCGTGTTTTCGGTGTAGTGTGTGTATATTTTTTAGTGTGTGTAATGTTTTTAGTCTGTGTTTCAGTGTAGTGTGTGTAATTTTTTAAGTGTGTGTATTTTTTTAGTGTGTGTTTTCGGTGTAATGTGCGTAATATTTTTTAGTGTGTTCTTTTTAATGTGTGTTTTCGGTGTAGTGTGTATTTTTTTTAGTGTGTGTTTTCAGTGTAGTGTGTGTATATGTTTTAGTGTGTGTTTTCGGTGTAGTGTGTGTAATTCTTTTTACTGTGTATTTTCGATGTAGTGTGTGTATTTTCTATGTAGTGTGTGTAATGTTTTCTAGTGTTTTTCGGTGTAGTGTGTGCATATTTTTTAGTGTGTGTTTTAGGTGTAGTGTGTATATTTTTTTACTGTGTGTTTTCGGTGTAGTGCGTTTATGTTTTTAGTGTGTATTTTCGGTGTAGTGTGTGTATATTTTTTAGTGTGTGTTTTCGGTGTAGTGTATGTATATTTTTTAATGTGTTTTTTTGGTGTTGTGTGTGTATATTTTTTAGTGTGTTTTCGGTGTAGTTTGTGTAATTGTTTTTAGAGTATTTTTTCGGTGTAGTATGTGTAATGTTTTAGTGTATTTTTTCGATGTAGTGTGTGTATTTTCTTTGTAGTGTGTGTAATGTTTTCTAGCGTTTTTCGGTGTAGTGTGTTTAAATTTGTTTAGTGCGTGTTTTCGGTGTAGTGTGTGTATTTTTGTTATTGTGTGTTTTCGGTTTAGTGTATGTATAGTTTTTAGTGTGTATTTTCTATAAAATGTGTGTATTTTTTTTAGTGTGTGTTTTCAGTGTAGTGTGTATAATTTTTAGTGTGTGTTTTTTGTGTGGTGTGTTTATATTTTTTTTTAGTGTATTTTCGGTGTAGTTTGTGTAATTATTTTTAGTGTGTTTTTTCGGTGTAGTGTGTGTAATTCTTTTTAGTGTGTTTTCGATGTAGTGTGTAAAAACTTTTTCACGATCTAAATCACCAAAAACTGCACACTAAAGTACACATATTTTAGTTAAAGTTGGTGCAACGTCCAAAAAACTATTTCACGATCAAAATCATCAAAAACTGTATATTATAGTACACAATTTTTTGATAAAATTGGTGAAACGTCCAAAAAAAATTCACAATCAAAATCACGAAAACAATAAATTAACATTTTTCCATCATTCGGTTGAAAAAGAAAATGTGTGCTATATAGTGCACGGTTTTGCTTCCAATGGGAGAGAAGCAACATTACTGGTTTCAAGTTTGCTGAAAAATTCTTTACTAATTAGAAGCTTTATTTACTTTTTAGTTTTTACTACTAACTAATGGCTATTGGCTATATCATACATAGTCCCTTTTACACAGAATAAACAAAAGAAGTCGTTATCAAATAATGAAGTAAAGACCAAGTTTTAATTTCTAAGAAAAAATGGAGAAAAATAGATAAATAAAGATCCAGGTTCTGCATGTATTCTAGTAGGCCCAATATAAGAAAAAATAAATAAAAAAATTCTCAGCATCCATAGAAGATGATATTAATCATATTATGTAGCAACTCCCAAAAACAAATGCCAAGCAAGGAACACACCTCAACGGTTAGCCTTGGCAACTCTCTCAACCTCATCTTTTTTCTTGATGGCAAAACTGCAAATAAAATGTTCAAATATTAGCTTGCAGAAAGTAATGCCAAATATTAAAGCAGTGCTAGTTAGGGTTTCTCACCTGTTCGAAGAGCCCTTGGCGGCATTAATAAGCTCATCAGCAAGGCACTCAGCAATGGTCTTGACATTCCTGAAAGAACTTTCACGTGCTCCAGTTGTTAGCAGATATATAGCCTGATTTACTCGGCGCAGAGGAGATATATCAACCGCCTGTCTCCTTACTACTCCGGCTGACCCAATTCGGGTGGCATCCTCCCTTGGCCCACTACACACATACAACAATTGATCCCAACTTCGATTAACTAACAAGCTACAACATATAATATATGCAGATAAACAGAGACTAATTTCAAATCAATGCTATTATTCTTGCCCACTACTGATTCAGTTTCAGATTGGCAATAGAAACTGCTTTCATTAGGTGGCACTCTATTTGTTTAACGATATGTATATAAAAAATATAGTAACAAAGAAGAAAATGCAGACCTGTTGATAACAGCATCAACAACGACTTGAATGGGGTTTTGATCAGTCAACAAATGGATGATCTCCATGGCATGCTTAACAATGCGAGCTGCCAAGAGCTTCTTTCCATTGTTTCGGCCATGCATCATAAGAGAGTTGGTCAACCGCTCAATAATTGGGCACTGTGCCTTCCTGAAACGCTTGGCCTGGTACCTTCCAGCAGTGTGGGGCATATATTGCGGATGCTTGGCTGCTGTAGCAGTGATATAATCTTCCACTGAGATATCGCTTATCTACAAAGTATAATCATTTACTACATCATAAGTTCTAATCATAACCAAAATACAAACAGTAATCATCCAAAAAAGAAAAACATCTACGCATCAAAACCATCATTCTGTAGATTCATATTAAGAAACAACACAAGAAACCATGTTCTAATTGGAATATGTATTTTATGCAACCAAGAAAATGCAAGTAATGAGTATTTATGCAAGTTAGATCCAACATCCATCATAAATATGGTTGCACATGCTATAAATATCCCTACACATCTGTATTGATATTATATGTGGCAGTTGTGGTTTCCTGGGAAGAGAAATCATGCTACGATTGGTATCAATTATGGTTTTCTGGGAAGCAAAATCATGCTTATACAAGGTGGACATTACCTCCTATTCAATTGTGCAACACTTGTTAATTCGGACTCGGTAATGTACATGTACAGTGGGTGGTAACATGAATAGGAGGATGTACAAATGGTATTAAAAACATCCAATAAATTTTTTTTATCATACCAAATTAAGGTCTTAGATTTGGGGTCATTTTTCTCAATATCAAATTAAAGTAGACACCAACCCTCAAACTTGCCAGAAACCACGGATAATCAACAAATTAAACTAAAATTACATGATTCCAACGAAACAGAATACAATTCCATAAGTAAGTATCACTGTGTACGATTTATACAATAAAAAGAACCAAAAAAGAAAAAGGATGAATAATGAGTAAGGAAGAATTAGGCAAAGGAGAAAAAAGGACCTGCACTTCATCATAGGACCAGCGATTGAAAAGCATAACGCCGGTCGGAACCTTATCTGCCTCGGGAACAGCAGCCACCATCACCGCTTCTGTAGCCATATCTTCTGGTTTCAGCCGCACTAGTAGCAGAACACACACAGCCGTTAATAATTTTACAGAGTGAGACAAGAATGAATGCGCATATAATGCCTTGACACAGAGAATCGAGATGAAGAAGACGGCAAAAACCCTAGAACCAGCCCAATAAAAAGACTTTGGCTTTCTTAGTGATATGACAAAACTGACCTTACTGATTATTGAAATTCTATAATTAATTTATAAATAAATACTAATGGTCATATTATATATTATCTATTATCTTTTTTAGTTCATAAGAATAAGATAAACATTATGAATTTTGAAAAATTTATTGTTTATATGTGTATGTGAATAAAGAGTAGATGACAAACGCCTTTAAGATGTGTTATTAAAATACAACAGTTGATCTAAATGACATACTATTTAACTGCAATTCCTGTCACATATGATTGCCATCTAAATATGCTAGATTCTAATCATTTAATATTTTATTTATTTTCCTGGGAAAAACAAATTAGATGAAAATGATGGAATTCTAATGCATTTTTACATTATTTGACTTAGCCAACAACGTGGTATTTTATTATGTAACACATTTGAAGGAAAATTAAAATAGATTGATTAAATAAACCAAAACCAAAACCAAACTATTAGGAAATTGTTTATTTCCATACAAAATAGCGTTTTAAATGAAAATAATTTAGTCATGATGATGATGATGATACAGCTACTAGTACAACATAAAAAGGAAAGTAGAAATATACAGTTCACCATAACTTATAACAAATCAAGAACCACCAGTTCGTTTAACTAATCTACAAAACTGTGTTGGATAAAAAGAACATTTGGATTTGGATGTGATGTCTTCATCAAGCAAGGTTATTCTCAGCATATTCAATGGCCTTAGCCTTCACAGATTCAATTCGTTTCTCATCCCCAGTCGACTTTTCGTACGCCAGATACTTATTAAACAAGAACTGCACCACAATTTTACACGGTTCAGACTAATTATAATAATAAATCAAACACGCGAGTCTAATCAAGTAAATGCTTTTTACCTTCATCTTCTTCAGGGGAAGGCTCAGACTTATTGCTCTCTCAAATAATGCACGAATCATATCCGCTTCACCAAGCTTAATCTCCTGTTAATTAATTTTAACAAGTTATACATACATACATACATACATACCTACATACGAGAAACATATCAAAATATTCTTAAGAGAATAAAAGTGAGTTGTGAAGTTTATACTTGATCTAAATAGATGCTCCATAAATCAGTCCTCTTTGGATGTTGCCTAAGTATACTCTCAAACAGAGTTCTTCCTCTATCTGGAACTCCACACTTAAACTCTAGGATGGCAGTCTTTGAAAGAAACTTTATATGCTTATGTTTAGGAAGCCTCTTAACAGCATCAGTTACGACAGGCTGAACTCCATCACTTTTTCTATTCACAAGAGACTGGATCCTTCTCAGCCATACCTGACAATGCCCAAAAATAATATACTTTCACAAGACAGAAAAGCACTTTGCTCTCCAAAAATTCAATGGAAACAGATTTTGTTTACCTTGCACGAATTCCCGAGATTCCTAACCATTTTACCCAAAAGCTCATCAGCCAATTTGTGCTGTTCTGTTCTCTCATACATTTCTAGAAGGGCAAGATGCACCTTTTTCGAATCACAATGCTGCAACGCTCTAACAAATATTTTCTTAACAGCTTCCTGAAAAGAGAGTTTTCAAATTATTTTCATCAGCAACTGAATTCCAATCAAAATTAAATTTTCCCTTTTCCTCTTTTTTTTGGAGGTGGCAGGGTTGGGAAGGGGTTTCTCTCTTTACTATACCTCTGGAGGATTGCCATACTCATTTTCCAAGTTCAAATATGCAACCCAGATATTCAGCTTCTCAGATTCTTCTTGACTACTTATTCTTTTCAAAGCCCTGGTGCACAAAGTAAAGTGATGAGTTAATTTTGTGCGTCCGTTGGTGTGTGTGTGTGTGTGTGTGTGTGTGTGTGTGTGTGTGTGTGTGTGTGTGTGTGTGTGTGTGTGTGAGAGAGAGAGAGAGAGAGAGAGAGAGAGAGAGAGAGAGAGAGCACAAATGTCATTGCTGCAAGCAATATAACTATTCTAATTAGCTAGGGGGTGTTAAGAGGAAAAATATAACACCGATTGCACCACATACAATTCAGCAATGGATCGTGCCTTCTCAATATCTGCCAAAGAGAGCATAAATGCCATGTACTTTATCCATGGATAGCTGTTATTTGGGGAACTTTTAATAAGTTTCTCAAATTCATCGGTAGTCCTTGGGACGTCTTTTTCCAGCTGTCTCTCCTCAGCAGCTCTTATTTCTTGTTCCCTTTACGAAAAACATTAACAAATTACACTTTGCTTCTCAGAAACTAATACATGTCATAGTTCCTACATGATATAAAGCAAAAGTTATTCTTGTATAGTGTCCCTACCTCTCTTCCCTAGCTTTCCTTTTTGCTCCTCTTTTTTTTTTCTCTCCAGCTGTAGTATCTGCATTAGTAACCGGTACTAAAGTTTGACCAACATCACCTTCAATATCTGAGGTTTCCATGTCATCAAGTGGAACCTCAAGAGGTGGCACAAGAGCCCTAGATTCAGCATCTGCAAGTATGGGTTGATGACCATTGTCAGATTCATTATTTGTCATCTGCATGGAAGCAGAGTTTCTCTGGGATGTCACTGTTGGCTCATCTAACATAATGGTGTCGTTTATGCCAATGGCAGAATCATGGCTTTGTCCGGGAGACGTCTGCACTTCCTCATCTTTGAAATATGAGTTCTTTAGCCCAAGAGAGATTCGATTTCTCTCTTTATCCACCTGAAAGAGAAGTTGGAACAGCAATTACTCTTTAATTGTTATTAATATATACAATGGTGCCACAATTTCAAAGAACTGAGGAGCAAAATAATATGCTACAGTAGTGCTTTAAAGTGGGACCACCTCACTAAGTTTCATGAAGTGGCAAAATGATTCGAAGGAAACTCATATTTTATTCCATTGAACTCCCAACCACTCTCCCCCACAACAACTAAATAAAAACTAATAAAAATATACTTAATATATCAAAAAAGATTCCACTAAGTTTATCTTTCCTCTGTTGACAAGAACTTGGCAATATATTCTTAATAAATAGTAGGTACCGTCAAAACTTTTGCTGTAACTTTCTCCCCTGCTTTAAATTGTGTTTCAAGATCCTCTATGTGATCGTCAGAAAGCTCTGAAACATGGCATAAACCGACCTAGGCAAAGTAAAACTTAAGCACATCAGTACAGTTTACCACAAGAAACACATGGAAACAACATTAGAGAAAGTACAAAAAGGTAAACTCAAGCTGCAATAGATTATATTACAACTGACGCATGTTAGACAAGCACAAAATACTTTTTAGCCACATGTTAAGCAGTTGCATAGAAGCAACAACTTTAGCGGAAGTTTCATCTTCAAACATAATAATCGAAATAACATGACAGGTCTGGAAGTAGAAAAATAAGAAATCAAAGAAAATCTATAACCATACCGCATTTGTGTGGTCAATGGATATAAACAAACCATAAGGCTGAATGCGTTTGATTCTTCCAGAGATAATATCTCCAACACTAATATGGTCTACAGGATTATTTCCCGACTTAGGCTCTTTGAGAGCACTTGAAGTTCGAAGGGTAACTTCAACACGCTTAGACAATGGCTCCACCGAAAGCACCCTGCATTAGAGGGGTCAATGTTGCATACACCAGCATTACAATGTGGCTTACTATGGAATATGCCATTAGAAATTCTTACTTGCCAACCACAAGTTTCCCGATAGGAAATTCATTTTCTGGATTTTCAACAAAATTGTCCGACAACTTGGAAATGAGAATTCTGGCATCGATCTTCCGTGAAAGCATGATAAAGCATCCTTTCGAAGAGACATTTTTAACATACCCCTGCATCAGTCAATGTGAGGGAGAGCATAAAATCATACATCAGAGAACAAGAATTAGAATACTTGAACTTGCATTTTATCAGCGGAACAAGGAAATTGACAGGTGAGTAGAGTTTGTAAGAATTTATTTGCCTTCTACTAACGCCCTATTGACAACATTTTCTAGAGAAATGTTTTTTACCATTCATGAATTTATATATGAAAACCCAAGAGGGAAATACTCAGTAGACTACCTGGACTACCATATCAGGATGAAGATCTGTTATTTTGTCCACATGCTGGATGGAAGTATGCCTGCAAATGATTAGATGTTTTGTCACAGCAGAAACTGTAGATAGTAGATTCAAAATAACAGTTTTATGAAACTACTCAATATTTGACTATGTCAAGCTGCAAAAGAACCTTCTCAAAATTAGTAAGTATGAAAATTAGCAGTTTTCGTTGACAGGTCTTGCACATTTTAGGGTTCAATGGTCAGCAAATATGGATTCATACAGTTGAGTTCCTATCATTGTTTCTGGCATGCAAATATTTTCTATACATTTATTTATCGCGCCTGTTGTTCGCAGATTTAAAAAGAACAAGTATCTAGTGACTACCAATTCTTTCATTTTCTGCAAAGAGAAAGTTAAATCTCCATGACATCACGCCTCAAGAATGGACCTTAGGCATTTGAAGAAAGTTGAGGTAATTCTAAATTCGCCAAGTTATAGACTTACATGCCACCATTAAGCTCAGTGGATCCCAAATCCCGTGAAGCATCTGAAGCTGACCGAAGAGATAGGTCAACATGGACCACACCCATAACACCTCGAGTAATCTCCAAAACTTTACATTTCACAAACTGTCCTTCTTGATAACCAGAAAGTGGGTTGGAGACCCATGAGTCTGTCAACTCGGTAAAATGAACCTTACCATACTGGTGCTGATCAATTTGGACCAGCAATCCACCAATACCAGGAAGAATTTTAGAAATCCTGCCACCCACGGTACTACCTTCAACTAAATGACACGTCAAACGACGGTCAGAATTTTTTTCATTGAGTTCCCCACAAGCATCAGCTGGTGCATGCATGACCAGACGTAGTAACTTCTTCTCCTTATTCACGGTGATTATGTGACCTGAAAGAGCTTTACCCACACGAAGACGGTTCTGGAATTCTGCGAGTTCACAGGGCTCACATGAAGAGTCAAGAATATACAACTGAGCATTCACATCTCGAGATATAGTCAGCCAGGCCCAATCAGAGTCAACCTTATACACATAACCAGAAACACGTTGCCCATATGTGTAGTTGAACTCTTCAGAAGGTAACCCTTCATCTGGTTCGCCAGATCCTGTATATGCAATGCAATTTGAACAAGTTAATCAACAAACTTTATACATGACCATAAATATTGCATATAGAGCAAAACAATTACGAAACATGGATAGAAAAACATGTCTCCAGATACTCCAAAGATCATGGATGGCAGGGGAGGGAGGAGACCAGTAGAGATGCCAAATTAGTCATATGAAGAATCTAAATGGAAGGCATTTATTAAATCATCTATCAACCTCATTCTCGTAATAACAAACTAAGTGGTGCCCAAGATATCTAAAAAAAAAGTGCTATCCAAGAAAGCGCAAGATAGCGAGCATCAAGTAGCACAAATTACAGAACATGAAGATGAGGATAAATCAGAAAGAGGACTACGTAGATAGTCATTTAATGAAAAAATAAAGAGTCAGAATTATTGCTGATTTCAATTCAAGCGACAGCATTTGGAGGTTGAATAAGTTTCAATTCGGAACTGTAGTACAGCACACATTGCAAGTGTTTGAAGTTTTTACCACCTCACCAGGGACAAAAACCTTAAAAATGTTATATATGCTTCTGCATCGATTTTATGTTTGACTACTAAATGGAAAGACCAATCTGGATATGCACAGCAGTCGGGATAATATCTAAAATGGAGAATGAGTCCAGGCTTATAAACAACAAAAAGGACTGGGGAATTGGAGGACAGGATGGCGAAGTAGTAAATGCTGATCTTAAGAATTGATGGTTACGTTCATCTACTGCAAATCAGATATACTTTTTTCACATCATAAATCTGCTCAAGGCATTAGCTTGATAAATGTAAGCATCAGGTGAATGACTTTGATAATGGTTACCTTTAAGCAGGGAAGGTTTGATAGATAGTTCACATCCATGACCTCCTTTCATGTTTTTTGTCTTGCTACCCTTTGAAACAATCCTTGATGCCAGTGTTTGCCCAATTCTGTAGTCACTAAAGGGGCTTTCAGCAGAATTATCATCAGTTACCTGCCAATAAACCTCCAAATCATAACCACACCTTTTCAAAAAGAAAGTTATAGGAACTATACAGTTTCTAATCATAACAATCTAATAGGCAAAAGGACTCCAAACCTCAGTTATATGTATTCTTCCATAGAAGCCTGAACCAAATTTCACCTTAAGTTCAAGAGGCTTTATTTCCGTAATCTGAAAATCAGCCGAAGCCACACTCGAGTTAAAGAAATGAAATATCATAAAGCTTGTTCATATATAACTAATATTCAGCAAGTAATCTGCATTATGGAGCTACAAATCTCAACTCAGGGTACCAAAATGAACCCTACCTCTGCCTGAATGAGAGATCCAACGTCATAGCTAGATTTCTTCCTTGCCCTCTTAGAACTGGATGTGTCCACACCATCACCTAAATGTTTGAGCAGCAGAAGCAATTTCCCACATGTTGCGGGAGCTGGAAGAGCCATTACAGTAGCAGAGACACTACGATGAAAAAACAAACAATAGTAACAATTATAACAAAACAAGGAATGAAATCGCAACCTAGAAGTTACCAAGTAAAAGGAAGAGGCAAAACAGCGGTAAAAACATATAGCCATACAGAATTTTACAATATTACAGAAAGATCATCAGCTCAATAAATAGCAGCCCAATGCAAAACGGAATGTAGAGGGAAAAGACCAAGATAAATGCACGGAGCATAAGGGCAGCTCCAGGAATCTAAGTTATCGGAAATATGGACATAAAACATTTTTTTTCCTTCAAACAATGGTTACAAAGACAAACATTTAATTACCTCAGCAAGATATTCACGTAAGGTAGATTTCCAATAATGTGATATTCACCTTTCCAAACCAAAGTTTATCGTATCATCTCGTACAGAAAGGGCAGATATCCCTGGAGTTGCTTCGTGATCATCAGTCGATGATGATACTGAAGGCAATCAATTCATGAATACACTATAACATAAGATTTCAACTCCAAGGTATCCTTATATTTCTTTATGCATACCCCAACATTTGATGGTTTTTTTATTCAGGTCCATGAGTTCATTGCATCATTGACTAATTCGTGCACATAGTTTTCATATCTGCTAAGGTAACTAACTTAATTCTTCTCTGTAACTCGGTCACTGTCTTGCACTGATGGTTGATTAACTTTTCAAAAGTTAACATCAAATAGGTATAAGAAAATACACATACAGTACAATGTGAGCTGTTGAGCTGATATGCCTTCTTTCTAGTATTCAGATACCTATTGAATACAACAATGTCAAACGCAAATTCTAGCCTGATTACTGTTAAAATCATTTAGTAACTATTGAAATGACACCGGGATCATACTTTTATCAGCTTACTAACCACTGCTGAACAGCTATACCACTCTCCCACCCAAAAAAGAAAAAACAAAGAAGAAAAAGGAAATGAAGAAGAGAAGGAAGAAAAAGAAAAGGCAAATAAGTTAGCCATAGAGCTGCAATGTGTTCGGAAAGAATTTGCAAAGTTACCTTTGTCCATGAGTAAATTGTTTATGAGGTAATTTCTGTGTGTTGTAATCAGTGAGTGATGCATAGCCTATGGTAAAATTATAATCTGGAACTGAAAGAACCTGTTGAAAGAACGGAAAGAGAAACAGGCATTCACGTGAATATCATGTCAACGAAAAAAAGATTAAGCATTAAAAGGGGGAAAACACCTTACCAAGTAATTTTCCTTCACTATCTCAACTATTGCGTTCACTATTTGATTCACTTCCAAGTCCTTGTGTTCTCTTTTGCGTTTCTGCAATTAATTAAAGTATAGATTTTGAACATGGGAAGAGACAAAATATGAGATAATGGTTTAATAATCTTCGATAGAGCATAGATGTTTAGAACCAATTAGATCTCACAAACTATAATGGAAGGCTACAGAACACACACACACACACACACACACACACACACACACACACATATATATATATATATATATATATATATATATATATATATATATATATATATTTGTATATACATAAAACCGACAAAATAATCTGTTAATAGGTCACGGCAAAACACAAGATAACCTTGCTGGCATGATACTTGTTATAATTTAAAGGCAAACCTTCTTAAGAGCTTTTATGGTAGAACTCTCTTTTTTGGATCTATTTATGAACTCTGGCTTTAGTGATAGGTCCACAACGCGATCAATCTTCGAAACATCAAGAACTGCAGCTTGGATAGCAGAATTCTTTTTCATGGAGGTTCCAGCCACTGCAAAGAATAATACGCTGATGTCATTTTCAATTCAACAAGGAAAACAAAAACAGGTTCTTATAAATTTAACATACATTGATGATGTGAGATGAACCCAAAGACATCATTGTATTCCTCAAAGCTGATAACAACACCATGATCCTTGATCTCATGTACTTTTCCTTCAATAATATTGCAAATACTAAACGCATCAACCCATCTCAATTCAGAGCCTTCACGGTCCAATCCTTGCAGCTTTGCAATCTGGCCAAAGCAGCTCAGTGAGTCAGAATATGAACATAAAACAAAGCATCATAAGTTCTTTTGAATAAGGCTACTTGGAAAAGAACTTCATGGTAGGCAGAGAGGGCAAATGAGTGGTTCAAGGAAATTGAGACCCATAAGATAAAAGATCAAATATCCTCCATTAATTACTCTCCACCCATAAGATAAAAGGTCAAGTAAAGCACTTATTAGTATCAGAATCATGGGCCCCCATAATCAGTAGTTTAAAGTGAATTCACAGCTAAATATATATATATATATATATATATATATATATATATATATATATATATATATATATATATATATATATATATATATATATATATATCCGAAGGGCATAAGCAAATTCAGTAATACAAGCTACATACCCAGAAAAAGTATTAGATTTTAGATTTGACAGGAGTTGGCATTATGATCTGACTTATCAGTTAATTACCATGCAAAATATACTCAACTAATTACTATCCTAAAAATTATCTTGACAAACAGATGAAATCTGGAATCATGTCCTTCTCACAGTTCACTTCATAGTAGTCTGTTAACAATTGACAGAATTTGAGGCATTACCTTCTCTTCCAAAAGGAAATATTCTTGAATAAAAGCCGCATCGGTTGAACAGCATAATGACTGCTTCAATGACAGTGTTATTCTACCCACATCACTACTAACCTGAAAAGGGATTAAAAAGAAATGATCAATAGAGAATGTACTGGAGTTTGACATGTTTAAACTAGTTCCTAGTGTTGGACCTACATCAACTATGTTGCTGCGAACTGATTGTCCAACATAGAAGACCTCAGAAAGATCCGATCTTCTGTCATCAATAGCCTACAAAACAAAAATAAAGAATTGAAAATTTAGTATAAGCATCCATCCAACTAACCAGTTAACATATATTTTAACAGAGATCATATAAACTCATGTACCTTGCTTTTGGGAGCAAAACCAGTTAAACGTCCAATAAAGCGAACAAAGCAGCCAGTTTCAATTATATTACATATGTAACCCTGGTTCAGAAATCAATGAGTCGAGGATAAAATGAAAAGCTGATGAACTCATGCTTCCACAATGTGAAGTTTCCTCATTGTTATGATAACTGAGGGAGTACATTTTGACTGACTGAAAGCATTATATAGAAGAATGAAAAACTAACAAGACAAGGCATGAGGACTCCACTTATACAGTATGTTAAGCATTTTTAAAGGACATGGCAGTAATGAAAGACCAAGCAACATTCTTACATGCACCACGGAGTGACAACTGAGTTGGCTGACATCAATAGGAAGCTGTTGGGTGGAGTTGACTAGTGAATACTTGGCAGTAAGTACAATATTGTTTCCTTCAATATCTGCATGATTTAAATATCAAATATAAAACACTCAATCAGAAAGTGAAATTCAGTTCTCAAACGATTCATTTTACTCATGCTATTTGGTAAATCAATTATGCACAAAATATTAGGCTAATAACAGAATGGCACCCACGCTACATCTTATTTAATATTGTTTTCCATCTTGTACATTTACATCTCATAATGAACCTCGTGTTTTTTATTCAGATTAGGAAAGCAGAGGATTAAGGGGCCACAAACTTCTTAGAATTGATTGTGACAAGCATAACAGAAGAGAGCAACTATATCAATAAACGATGAAGGGAACACATTGACAGATTACCAAGAACCAACAGTTCGTCAAAGTGATGTCCCGGCTTGATGAGAGAGATCAATGAAGCAGCAAGACCTGTTCCATTGCATCGAGTAACATGTTAGGGACGCTAAAATCATATGATATGAAGAATCAGCAGGTGGGAATATATTCACACACACACATACACACACATTTATTTAAAAAAAATGGCTTTTGAGATACCCTGATTGTCTGCTAAGTGTTCCAGGGAGATGGTGCCTTTCATGCCACTTGAGGCATTGATGTCCACTATAACTGTTTCAGGTGTTGTACGCACGACAAGTCCAGAAACTAGGCTACCTGGTTTCACATTCTCATCCTCTGATGCCCTATCAATTTTTTTTTCAGTGGTAAGAGGTAAATAAAAACAATATTAGCATTCTTAAGATGTACTAATCCATCAATATGAAACACAATTAGTTAACAAGTATAATATTTGACTATTTCATGGATTAAAGAGGTCAAGATAGACGAACTGTTTAATAATGTTCACATTGAGAAACAAAATTGGCTGCAGTGCAGAACAAAAATCCAAATCAAGAAACAAGTATATTGACCATTTAATAATATTCACCCATGACATATGATTAAGAAATCACCGTGCATTCAGCTCGTACTCCATATAAGTAACTTCTATGATGGAAAGTAAAACATTGACAACAATGCAGAACACTAATGTACAATTGGAAAGCATCTGCACATAGGACATTTTCCTTCACTTTTTATGCAGTAAAAAAAATTCAGAAGAAACAAACCTTGTGGGTGTAATATTAAAACTGAGGCTTATTCGGTGTGAAGAAGGGATACATTTTACAACTCTACACTTGACCACTTGCTCCACATGATACATGGAATGTATGTCACTAGCCTGACCCAGACCAAGTTCAGATCTGCAACAAGCAGCAACTTATTACTCGGTGATACATAAAATCAGCAAATCAAACAGATTCGATTTAATATGTGATATCATCCACATTGTTGAATGATATCGAGCATGACCAAAGTAGAGCATAGAGCAAGAAAAATTCACCAAGTTCACACTCATCGATAACACAAGACTATATATGAGGACATTTCATGTGTTCTCTCTACAGAAGATAGACAATCAAAGTAATAAATATTTAAAATGTGAATATATGAAATTTCTAAAACACGTATTTCATAAAACAAGCGAAAAAGATGTCTAGCCTCCAGCCTCCATCATCATATTTAATGAGAATTTCACATTAAGGAGAAAAAAATAAATCATGGTTCAAATTTTTATAACTCAGATTTAGGACAATCTCTTCGGCATATAACTCCAATAAAACTAATCCTGCCCTATATTTCCAAAAATGCTTTGAAACAACTACTGTGAGTAAAGAATCAAAACTTCTTCTTCGAATCATCATATAATGGCCTTTAATCTTCCCTAGGGTGAATTGTTACTCTGCATACTTTCAAGTTGTTAATAAGATGTGCTTATGCAAAAAGAAAATCCGTATCAGATTAGAACAAACTGGTCTATAATGGTAAATACTAATTTCTAACTTATAGCTTAGAATTAGTGTCTTCGTTTCTATCATACGATAGTACTTGTAAGCTAAGGAACTTCCTTTTGTGTTTTTGGGGGATGCCCTCTAGATATGATTTGCTGACACTGTCTTACTGGACAATACAATTGCTTAAACTGCTGATCAAGTGACATATATTAGATAAACTGATAAACAACTTATCAATTTGTTTCAGAAAAATAACACGTAACAACTCATCAGAGATTATTCACAAGTGCTCTGTGACTGACCTGGGGGCAAATCCTTGAACCCCATTGTAGAACCGAACGAAACATCCATGTTTTTCGATTTTTGTAATCCACCCATGAGTGACTAACCCATCAGTTGCGTCGGCAAACGAACTAAGAATCTCGAGCTTTGACTTTACCTGAATAATCCAAATACAAATGCTTGAAGGAAATAATTTAAAGCAAAAGAAAAGGCATGTAGCATAGATTAGGAGGTGATCAAGAGCATCAGATACATTTTCAGACCTTATCAAATGTTTAAATCTAAATACTAGACAAAAACAACTTTTAATGAAGTTACAATCCAAATGTGGAAAATATCAACCTCAAACTTCAGAAAATTCATTTAAAGCTCGAGTTGAAGGAGTGGATAGCACATATATGGTTATATATAAAATTATGTAGAACAACGCGGAAGAAAAATTGAGTAAATTCAGCAAAAAAAAAGCCAGGAGAAAGAATACCAGAGTTTTCTTGTGTGTAACAGTGATTCGCTTGGATTTGCAACCAAGAACACGAAAAACTAACTCAACTCCAGCCTGCAAAATATCAACAGATGCATGACTATAGTGAAGAAAAAATCCAATTATTCATCCTAATCCATGCAGTAAAAGCTCTTGCAAAACAAAGGTATTTAACAACCTTAAACTTTTTTCTAGGCTTTGCAATTTCAAACTCTGACATATGACGGAGAGGACATAGAGCTTTCACACCACTTGCAAATTGCACAATAGAACCAAAACTATCGACGGCAATGACTTTAGCTTTCACCACCATTCCGGGCTTCACATCAGAGTGAGTGAAAACTAATCCTTCAAAGGCACTAGTCTGTTTAGAAGAAAGAGGAATGAATTAAAAGTCAGGCAAATTCAAATCCATTGCTTTAAATATGAGAATGAAATATAGAAAAACATATATGCCATCAATTTGTCATAGTATGATGCTCCTTGTCACACTTGACTTGGTCCAGCCATTTCAGATCTCATATCTCCCAATTGTATTATTAACTTCTCATTAATGAAATATATGCCAAAACCCCTTCGGCATCCTTCAAATTAAATTTCTCAACTTACAGGAACATTGCCTACAACTTCATACATCACTAGCCTCATACTTTATAGTTTATTCCATTAAGCTCATGTTTTCTAGCCCCCTAAAAAACATTCCTCCATACTCAGTGAACTGAAAATTGTTTCTCAAGATTACTTATCTACGACATTTTCTGGAGGTATTTTTACAAGATTGATTGATTACTATATGTTTCATTCTCAATGCACAAATTTGACTTGTTAGCACAAAGAATGGTAAAATTAGTGGAGGAAAAACCTTTAAAATTCCAGTGGCAAGCCCTTCCAAGTGCCTGTATCCAAGCACTCTGGCACGGACAAGGCTTCCTTCTTTAAAACTCTTATCCAGTTTCCCAACTTCCTTGTCAGCTATGTCAGATACCTGAAATCCTCCCAACAATATTAGCACTGATAGGTAAAGTTCATCGACAGAATGTCCACATGCATGAGAAAATAATATTAATGGACTTACATTGACATAAGCTGGAGTTGGAACTGGTAAAGTAGGAATTTGCAGAAGAAGGCCTGACCCCTTATCAACCCTGACTACTTTAGATTGATCAAATATATCACCGACTTTAACAAGCTGCTCAACAGGTGAAATCATATCAGAAACAATGTTCATATTCTTTTTAATATTTCTCTTCCTCAGAAGCAATCACAAAGGTCGAAAAGGGAAAAGGGGGCATCAATAAAACAACTAATGATGGAGCCAAAGCAAACAGCTGAAGCATGATAGCTAGATAACTTATAATTAAATAACTTGAGTACACAACATCAAGTAACTGAAAAGATGGTATAAATGTGACGCTAGAGATGTGAAAGATAAAACAAACTTACAGATGGTGGAGCCTTATTATTGACTAGGTGAGGGTTCAATGTTAAACCGACAGCCCTACTTGAAGGATCAATAAACAATATCCGAGCATTGAACTACAGAACAACAAAAAAGAACAAAATTACCAACCTGAGCACTCATTGAAACTAAACAAAAGCAAAATTACTTGAACGATAAAAAGAATTGACATATAATAGCAGATGTATACAAGCCAGTGGCATACTTAGGAGTTTCTAGAAGAAAACTGAACTGTGTTTGATGCTAGATAGCTCAATGGTAAACTCCAAAACATGACAATATGGAAAAACAGGATAGCTAAATTCGGTAATTCCTTATCACTAACACTCTAGGCATACAGATATTATGATCATGTTGGCATAATCCAATATTATTCTAAACAAGCTCGTATTATGCCCATGTCAAATACCGCAGCTTCTATGGAATTAATACACTGGTAGAATGAAACATTATTTCCCATTCAATCTAAACAGAAGGGACAACAGCATTACCTTCATATTTTTGCTATAGTCGTTCTTCCAGGTTGAAGAGGAAAACATTTTATCTAGATTAAATAAATCAACCTGTACAAAAAAGAAGACATAATATGAAAGACGAGAATAGAACACAATGCTGATGATAACAGAAATAAACTCAGACATACAGTTCCAGTAAAGTAGGTAAGGAAGGAAAACATGACGCCGTTTTCGAGGGTTGACTGCACACGAGCATTAACCATCATGCCTGGAACGAGAAGATCTATCGATATACCCTTAACCTCCTTGGTCTGCAGGAGTACTGATGGTTTAGAAAAAGAGCGAAATTCCATAGCAACCAATCAAGTTGGAAGTTAAGCATAATAATATAACAGAACATACCACACTTCTCGAAACCATGTCAGGGTCAGAACTCAAGTGGACTACCTTCCGAGCTCTCTCTACACTTTTAACGGTTCCTTGTAGAAACTGACCCACTTCAATCTTTCTCATCTCTACAAAGAGGAAATGGGTGATCAAATATTTGGCCGAAGAAAACCTCAATTCATTTTGAATGCCTTAAGCAACCCACTTCTAGTTTAAATTATCATGGCCAAGAAAACTAAGAAGTTGTTGATAATGAGGAAATGATAACATTCAAAAGCCATAGTCAACTAGTATGATGTACAGAATTAAACAAATATATTTTATCGGGTAGAAGATGCATAGTATACAAACTTCTGCCAAGGCAACAAGTGTTTCCCAAAAAAATCCTTATCTCAAGATACACTTCAGCTCTACAACATGTGGAACCAAGTGCAACTTCAACTAGTCACTACTCTTTTTATTAACAGTCTATTCTCGAGCGACATATTAAATATATTCTAAACAATTGGAAGAAGCATGGTGGACTAAGAAGTACCAGATTGGTTATGTTTAGGCATAAACCCTTCAAAAGCAGACAATCCAAAATGAAGTATAAAACCATGATCCTCAATGCTTTTCACGTACGCACTTAGCACCTGTAGTTGTATAAGACACAAAGGCTCCATTATAATTACCTCAAAGTAAAAGGAAATACAGATGCAACAACCCAAAAATATGAATTACCAGCAACAAGCATTTCCTTACTTCAGCAGCGAATTTCCATTAATAAGAAATACTAAAAATCGTCATTTTTAAATGGAGTTAAAGAAGTACAGGTATCTTGGATCCCGATAAAATCATTTGATTCCGACACTTTAAAATCGAGATATTGACTTCTCGGCAATAATGAAAAAATCATGGTAGGAATAAAAGCAAATTCCAGAGAGCAAAATGACTAGTAGAGCATTTTTTACATAAAAGGTGTATAAAAGAAGGAACGAGTACAAATAAGATGCCTGCTCAAATTGATTGTTGTCATGACTACAAACGTATTGACTACTCTAATAATCTCTAATAATCAGAGCAGCTGCTCACTCTTAGCATAAGATGGAAGACAACCAAGATAAAGAATAAGACATTATCTTCAAGCAAGACATATATTAATTAATGAAATATAGGGTCAGACAATTCAAATTGCATACCATTCCTTCTTGAATAGCATCCAGCGTTAAGCTTCTGTGCAACGAAGACAGACGCAGAGAAAGCCAGATCTTTCGTTTTGTTATTTCTTTTCTATCATCATCTACTTGCAATACAATGCAAGAAACGAGCTGCCCTTCATGATATATTCTAGACAGGAAGCTATTCTCCAGATCCTGTAATGTGAGAAAAGTGTATTTGATCCTAATTTTCTCATGAACTGATGCCTCGCTGAAAAATTATATTTCATTTTTTTATGGGTTCAATGATAATTATAGATCAAATCATAAAAAGGATCCAATGAAGAAGATATACCCCTTTGACTTCATCTCCAAAAACAGGATCAAATGCATCGCATGCACGGACTAGTCCCCTTAAGCCCCCTGGAAGACTAACAACAATATCTTTCTCGTTCACTTCAGCAATCACACCCCATAGCTTCATTCCTGGAGAAACATTCTGAATACGCGAGGCAGAGAGAAAGACAAATTTATATATCACTTACATAATACAAGAACCAAAATCATGTAATAAATTCTTTAAATCAGAGTACGGATGAAAGTTGGTGCCATAATAACTAACTGACAATAAAGCTGAAAAATAGATACTCTGTTTTGTAAAAGGCTCAATTTACAAACACAGTTCATTACATAGAAACATAAAATGACTTTTTGAACCACAAACAGTTCCCTGCGTATCTAGTCAATTGTTGATCATTTGTTTCCACAAATTGAAGTCCGTTCTGGCCTCGCATTATAAAGGATGTATGAACTAAATCATTCCCACATGACAATACAAGATAACAAGGCTAAGGAGAAGTCAATAAACATGGTTAAGAAGAATGAACACAAACACGAAAGACAGCATACCTTCAAAGTGATCTTATTGGCAAACCTAGGCAATTTCCCCTTAATTCCATCTCCAAAAAGTGACCCTAAGTCATCCTCTGTGGACTGATCCCTATTTTGTACCCTCTTTTCCTTGTGCCTTTTCTTAAGCACTCTATGATCTGCCTCGAAGTCATTGTCCGCTACAGCCCTAGCTTCATTTATTTCTTCTCTGCTCAACGAACTTCCCCCGCCTAAACCACAATAAAAGTATCGATGGAGAAATTTAAAATGTCAGGTTCTCAAAAGAATTGAGTACAATAACAATAGATGAAGCCACCGCTCTTAAAAAATGCAACTCCAAAATAAATTTAGATATATTTGTAAGCACAAATTACTAATTGAATGCATATTTCGATAACGTGAACTCGCAGGCCCAATTATACCCCCCATTTAAAGTAAGAATGTGATTTATCTATAAAAAAAATCCATGGTCATGAAATACAAACTTAAAGCAACCATTTATTTCTCCTCGGTTTCACAAAAATATTAAGGAAACCCATGAAAGCACCACAAAGAAACTGAATACTGAAATATGTAATATTGGTGTAAATCCATGAGCTAGAGAGAGAGAGAGAGAGAGAGAGAGAGAGAGAGAGAGAGAGAGAGATGTAAATATAAAACCTCGGGGGAAGTCAGGGACATCATCTTCGACCTGAAGCGGCAATTGTTGTGAAGAAACGGCGGCGTTGGGGTGGTTCTTAGCGGATTTGAAAGGCTTCTTAGATGTCATCTGAAAGTCCTTTTTCAAGTTTGGTTTCGATTTAGACTTGTTTGAAGGCGGCGCCATTACTCTTCCAACAAGAAGAAGAAGAAGAAGAAGAAGAAGCGCTGAAGCGGAATATTTTCCGACCAAATAGAGGCCGCTGAGAGGAGGAGAGGAGCAAAGTTTATAAGAGAAAGGGGTTTTAGAGGTTTAAAGTTTCATGGGCTTGGTCCAAATTACATAATCAACGAACGGCCCACCCCAATTTCTTTTTTTCCTTTTTTTTTAGTCTAAATAAAAGCCCAACACGGTCAATCGCATTTTTTTATATATAATTATAATTATTTTATTATATAGATTATAGAAATAAGATATACTCTGAGGATTCATATTCGTTCTCCGTCTATGGCGGCTATATCAAGCAGCAGCAGCACCACCGTAACACTCACACCGCCACTGGCACTCCAAGACCGCGTCGCAATTGTCACCGGCGCATCCCGCGGAATCGGCCGCGCCATCGCCCTTCATTTGGCTTCCCTCGGCGCGAAAGTTGTCATCAACTATGCCTCAAACTCGGCTCAAGCCGATGCAGTGGCCGCCCAAATTAATAGCGGATCCTCTGTCCGTGCCGTCACCTTGCAAGCCGACATATCAGATCCAGAGCAGGTAAAGCACATATTCGATGCTGCGGAATCGGCCTTCAACTCGCCGATTCACATCCTAGTCAACTCAGCCGGGGTATTAGATTCCAAGTATCCATCACTCGCTACTACCACCATCGAAGATTTCGACCTAACCTTCAGTGTTAACGCGAGAGGCGCGTTTCTCTGCTGCAAAGAAGCAGCCAAGAGGTCACTTACTACTTACTATTAAATTTGCTAATAGATTATTATTATGTTTTAAAGAGTTAATTTAGGGATTGAAAATAATTAGAATGATGAACTAATAAGTATAGCCGTATAGGATTAAGCAAGGTGGAGGGGGGAGAATCATATGCTTGACGACGTCACTGGTGGCGTCATTGAAGCCGGGATACATGGCGTACACAGCGTCGAAGGCGGCAGTGGAGGCGATGGTGAAGATATTAGCCAAAGAGCTCAAGGGGACGGGGATAACTGCCAACGCGGTTGCTCCGGGGCCGGTGGCGACGGAGATGTTCTACGCCGGGAAGACAGATGAGGCGGTGAAAAAGGCGGTGGATGAGTGCCCGCTGGGGCGGCTGGGGGAGACGGGTGACGTGGCTCCAGTGGTGGGTTTTTTGGCGACCGATGCGGGTCAGTGGGTCAATGGCCAGATTATTCGGGTCAATGGGGGTTACGTGTAACGACTTTGGATTCGAATAATAAATAAATTGTTTTCTTTTTTTTTTTTTTTAACAAAATCCATTCGAAGAAAGCATAAATAAATTGTGTATTTAATTTGTGGGGATGCCAAAAAATAAATGAAAGTAACTTGGTGGGCTTTTGTTGCTATATTTCCAGTTTTGGAACTGGGCCGATATATATATTATAAAAAATATTAGCTTTCTTCTTCCCTGAACAAATTAAAATTAAAAAATGTCGCGCTTAGCCCGTCGAAGCTGTTGGTCTCTCCATTTCAAAAACCTCCATCATTCCCTCATCAAAACGACGTCGTCTTTCTCCACTGACTCAACACATCATCCTTCTCCACCTCCGATCCGCGTCGAGCTCACCGAATATGCCGGCCGAGGCGTGTTCGCCTCCCGTAGAATTGGTGCCGGCGAGCTCATCCACACCGCGAAACCCGCTGTTGCGCATCCTTCTCTATCTATGATTCACACCGTATGCTATTCCTGTCTTAGGAAACTTCCAAACCGCCATAGCACCGATGACATGTCATTTTGCTGTATACAATGCGAACAACTATCTAAGGTTACAATCATCTCCCATTCACACATACATACATACATTTTAAATTCTGATAATTCACTACTATGGTCCATGTATCTGTAATGTAATCACGATTATGGCTATCTTTTATAGCTTTTTCAATGTCTGTGGATTTTCGTTTGATTCACACCGGAACATTAACCACATGATTATGTAATTTATGTTTAACAATCAATATATAGACATTAATCATTTCGTTTTACAGTTCAACACCCTATCAATCATTTTGTATCCTTAATTGACTTTGCTTCATTAAACGCTGTATTTTATTGCATTAGAAGTTTTACGATGTTGAGAAGAAGGCAGATTGGTCGAGCTTTAATGAGTACTGCCGGTATGAAGACCTCTTCTTACCTCTTATTGTTTCATTTCGTAATATTGGATATTCACTATTACTTCTGAAGACTGCAGGGTCTAAAATATCCACTTCTGGTCAAGCGTTTGGCTTGTCAGGTTATTTCTGGAGCCGTCACTTATGACATTCTTGACGTACTTCAACCAGAGATTCTATCTTCCGATCAAATTTCTAGGGTAAGCGTCTCCAGCTTCTTAAGAAGCCATAGCGATTCACACATGCAATCAGCTTGGTAATCACCTTCTTCGAAAAACAATAAAACGGAAGAAACATACTGAAATATTCTATTGAATCTGCTAGAGCTTTGTCGAAAAGTGAACGTTTACATAATGATTCTTCAGATATATCTATTAGTTAGTGTAGACAGTCTAAAAGTAAAAGGTTTATGTGATGGATGAGTGTTCTGATTCGAGGTGCAAATGGGTGGGTTCGATCTGAAGAGTTAAAAATGGTTTGAGGTCAATTTTATTGGAAAACGTGGATTGAAACAAGTTGTTTCAACTTGCTTGGGCTTTCCTTCTTCTTTACTTAACAGTTAACATCTTCTTCTGGCCATCCTCTTAAAAGATTGACGTCATGTTTAGTCTAAAGTCACTGTAAACGTACAATATGTCATGCAAGATTGCTCAATGATTCGCAGATGAAGAAGGAAGCAGCCCTGCTAAGAAGCACTTTTGAGGACTCGGATTTTGAAAGTGAGAAGATGGCATGTATCCTTGCAAAGTGAAGTTCGTTAAAATTTGAATTTTATGAAGTTTTTGTTTCCTCGTGATGTTTAGAGTAAATTCTTGAGCTTCAGTACATAATTTCCTTCACTGTGAAAAATTGGGCCTTTAACTTCGTAGTTCTAACTGAAGAATGGTACGCTGGAGTTCTAGCACGGATTCGTATCAATGCCTTTCGAATTGAATTGGCAATAGGATCATATGAGGATCTTCTTTCCTCAGCAGCAGCCTTGGTAGAAGCAGAATCTGCTGTTGGAAATGCCGTTTATGTGCTTCCTTCTTTATACAATCACGATTGTGGTAAGATCTCTCATTCCTCTACAAGCTCACTTTTCACCTTTTCCCTTATTAGCCAAACAAAATCATTTTTTGTTTCGCTTTCTTTGCTTACTTTTATCATCAGTATATAGCTTTCCGTTGGCAATTTTATTTCTAACTGCCTCTGAAGTTGGCATTTATCGGTGATAAGAGACCCTTAACTAGAAAAGGAATAAGTTTTTAAGTTAAGAGAGGAGCAATAGAAAATTGTAATGCAGAAGTCTATGCACGTCACATTTTTTCCCCTTTTATTTGCAGATCCTAATGTAAATATTTTGTGGATTGAAAATGCGGATGCTAAAATAAAAGCTCTCCGTGACATTGAAGAAGGTATTTTCTTTTGACTTTATGTTGACACTTCCAAAAAGTTTTATTTTTTATTGTTGCTGGAACATGTGATTTATAGACCTTTGCAATTCTTTCTTAGTTCATGATTATGGTGGTACATAATTAGCTCACTTTTTGTGGCTCGCTAAAGACAGTTAAATGATGGTTGTGATCACATCATCTTACTCTGAGGCCAATAAATTATTAAAAAATGAGAGATCCCATTTTATCGTCACATTTGCACCTTTACAACTCTGCAGCATTACGGGGTTGGAAAATTGTCTCTCTTAATATGGTTCTTTTTTTTTTTTTTTTTCCATTTTCACTTTATTATTGCATAGAGACTAGGGTGATTAACAACATTAAATCACCCTTGAAAAACTTTTCCTGAAATAAAATTATACCCCATTCAAGTATTACTATCATAAAACTACTTTGAGTTATGTAGCACGATTCCTTTGTTAAACATGGAAGATTAATGTAGAGGATACTCTGTTTATCACACATATTTGATGTTTTTCATCATGTCCCTGCAAGCTAATATGTTGAAAGTTCGTAAGAGGGTATTAATGTTGAAGTGTTCATTTGGCATTGCAGGGGAAGAATTGCGGATATGTTACATTGATGCGAGCATGGATTATGGGGCTCGACAAAGAATCCTGCATCAAGGATTTGGTTTTCAATGCAACTGCCCCAGATGTGTCTCAAAGGACTAAACTTTATTGATCTACACTTGTTAAAAACAAGATGCTTTACAATACACTAAAATATTTTATTTATTTATTATTGTGACTACTATACATTATATCTAAGAAGTATTTGCTAAGAAGTTATGAAAGTGGTACTGGAAACTCTCCATCTCCTCAACAGGCTGTCCACTCATGATGCTAACTCCATCAACATCTGGCAGTATACAATTAAAAGGGACCAAATGGTTGACCAAAGGGGTAGAGCACAGTGGCTTTCCCCACGGAAACTCCACTTGATGAAGCTCCATTCTCAACCATGAAGTGACGTGGCAATCTCCAAAAGGTATTCCTTTGTTGGTCTCGAACCAGTCTATAGTAGATCTAACGTACTCATCCGTCATTCTATTGTGCCCATCTGCGATCAACTCCACCAGCTTCCAAAACGGCCTTTGTTCGATATCTTTGCACTTTGCCGATGCATAAGCTACTAATACTGCATTCCCGCAGTATTCAAGCGGCAATGGCGGCTTCAGCCTCTGCCTGATGTCAACGGAGGTAAGGACAGTAAACTCTCTGTCTTTATCGTTCAACGACAAAGCTCTGCTCCGCCATATAAGTGCCGCCACAACGTTAAAGGTGGTGATGCTTCTTCTTCGTTTGGCGGTGGTGGTTGCATTATGATCATCATCTACTTCTTCTGCCTTTGACTTTAATTTCAAGAAATTGATGTCCTTTGAGCTTAGTTTCAGGATTTTGATTTCCATTTTTTTTTGGAATTCATGAAGCATTAGCAGAGGGCTGGCCAGAAATGGGCCAATATCGATCTTCAGATACTCAGGGTGTGGAAATTCGACGTGCGGCGGTGATCTGGCGGCAAGAAGGTTGCGATCGTGGCAAGGGATGAATGCCAGTGGTTTATCTTCAAATGCCTGTGATGCTAAATTTTCTAGGAATATCTTTGCAGAGGTGCCATCGAGCAAGGAATGATTAAATGACATTCCAATTGAGAAGCCACCACACTTGAATGAAGTTACCTGCATTTTTTTTTAATACAAATAAGTCAACACATATATAATCAGTTAAGAATAATAAGATGGCCTTAAATATTAATTTAGTAACCTGAAAAACACAGAGCGGTTGATCATCGGCATCCAAATGGTTCAAGGTTTGGGCATCAAGTTGCCGAAATCCTGGGTTGGGAAAAACCAAATCTCCAATCTCGTCCAGCGAAAACTCCGATGAAGCCACCACAAAGCCGGCTCCGGCCATGTTGCAGTTGATTTCAAGGCGGCTCGAGTGGTGGTGCCGCTTGAGTCTTCCGGCCATAAAGTCGTATGGGACAAGAACTCTCTGGAGAGCCAATTTCATCCTTTGGGCCACAACCTGTGGGGTGAAATCTGGATTGGGTTGAAAGAAGTAGATTGCTTGGATATTGACAGTGAGAATCTGGTCAAGTGTAGACAAGAAGAAGGATCTGTTTTGGGTTTCTTGTGAGGGGAAAACAAGTGTGGAGTCTTGGATTGTGACCTTGAGCTCTTCTTGCATGGTTTCCATAATTATGGTTCTTGGTTGCGTATCAAAATGCAATCCTTGTTCCTAGATTTATAGGGGCAATGTTCGAATGTAAGGACAAATGCCCTGCACACGATTTACAGTTTTCGGCTAATAAGAGATTTGTTTGATGAAACAGCCGAAGTCACTGATGCAAAAATCATAATTAAAAAAAAAAATGGTCATTAATTATTAATAGGTATTGCCATAGCTATTAATAAACAAGTATTCATCATCAGCTTTGGAGGAATTATCAGGCGAATGCTCACACGCATAATTACAAATCTATTTACTATTTCTGCCAATTCTTGTTTTGTGTATATCCATCATCATCATCATCATCATCATCATCATCACTCATCACTCATCACCAGCTTTGGAAGTTTTTCATCAACCAAATCCGCTGTTTGCCAAAACCTACTTAGACAAGTCTTTTCATCTCCAATTTGAATTCATCAACAAATATCCTTACGTGAAAGATCAAAGAATGCAAACTAGTAATTCCATCACAACAAACTCAGAAAATATCCTCCTTTTTGTTCGATGTAGACCACTTCCTGTGTTGCAATACCCAAACAGCTTATTTCTTCAAAGCAGACCCCTGCCGTTCGTCCCCATAAACAACCGCCGCACGTCACACTCCCACACCCACCGCCGCCTGATGTCCAAAATATAGATATTGACTTCAAAGTCGTGAAATTAAGCTCAAGCGGCATCAATTTGTTGAAATACATTATGGCGTGAATAACAAAATTGAAACTAGTGTGGCATAAAATGTTGTATTATATCCTGAAAATTATGCCTATAGAGAAAGAAAACCTCACACCTGTAGGCCAAATATTGGTACATCCACATTCAATAAAGTAAATCCAGAGCAACATCCATCCATCCATCCATCCACAGTTACAACAAACAAACAAACAACATAGAAATAATGTAGAAAAACAAAATAAAACTTCACTAGGGGTTATCTATTAACCCCCAGTTTAGTTTTCAGCAGTCAATAACTATATGTACTCTGGCTACCATCACATCTCTCCCGTAATCCCAAATGGATTACAACAAGTTAGTATTTCTTTTTAAATTAAATAGTCAAAAGCACATTCTTTTTCATCGTGAAAAACCATCATCATCACCATCATCATTATTATCAGATTTGGAGATATATACTCAACATATGAAATTAATCCCAGGCACTGGTCATCCCAGGATTGTATCCTCCGCCACCACCATAACCACCACCGCCACCTCCGTAACCACCACCACCTCCATAAAAGTCATTGCCGCCGCCACCCCTGTTAAAAGAGGGGTCTCTTCTAAAGTCACGACCACCAAAACGCCCGCCTCCACCACGCTTGCCTTTACCACCTCCATATGAAGCTCGACTTGCAAACCGAGTCAACCACTCAGGAACCTCCTGATTTGCTTCCTTCATCAAATCTGCTAGCGACCTTGCCATCGACATGTTGTTCTCGTTGAAGAATGCTGTAGCCAACCCCGACTTGCCAGCGCGCCCTGTACGTCCTATGCGGTGGACATAGTCATCAATGTCATTGGGGAGGTCAAAGTTGACCACATGAGCAACATGCGGGATATCAAGACCACGAGCTGCCACGTCAGTTGCAACTAATATTGGTGTATTCCCACTCTTAAATGATCTTAATGCCATCTCTCTCTCCTGCAACCACAAATCCATAAGAAGTCATATATGTGATCAAAAAGTTTGTTCAAACATACACAAAACAATGTCAGTTTAACACAGTTTCAATTCAAACTTCTAGTATTAAAAACTAAATCAAGTTCACTCCTCCCACTAAATATCTCAAGTATATGTTATAATAATACAAACAGAGAAATATATCAAAAAGTATTCTGAATTGCATTATTTACTAACCTGTTGTGTTCTATCCCCATGAATGGTAGTAGCAAGAAAACCATTATGACATAACCAATGCTCTAAAGAGTCAGCTCCTTTCTTTGTTTCCACAAACACTAAAGTAAGAGCTTGCTGCACAAATCGGTAACAATCAGGATTCAGGAAACAGAAATGATCTTAACATAAATGGAGAATGAAATAAAAAGAAATATAACTGTTTGGCACCATATATATTGATCTGATACTATATTGATTAGATAGTCGATTATGTACCATGTCTTACATGAACTTCACCAATAGTGAATAATCATTTTTTTCAGTTCACGGATTTTCCAACGTATAGTTTTCATAAAATACACTTGGTAGGACATGATGAATAGAAACGATGACAACTGACATATAAAATTTTCAATTCTAGCCACAACCAAACACAGAGGGGGAAAGAAAAACCATCTTACCTCATTTAATCATTAATGAACTTTCCTATTATTAATTCATGATAAAATCTTCTTAACAAGGCCATAATCTAGTTTCACCAAGTAGGTTAGACAAAAAATTCCAACAAAAGTAAATTCGAAATATTCGCCAGAAAATCAACCTACCTTTCCTTGAACTCCATTTGCCCTCTGTGCATGAAGAAGATCCATCAAATGGCTTCTCTTGTCACTCTCTTGAACATATTCAACTCTTTGAACAATTAAGTCTGTACTGGAACCAACTCTACCGACAGCCAAAAATATGTAATTTGCAAGAAAATCTGACGCCATTCTCTGTATCACATAAAAAAAAAGGAAATTTCAGAAGTTTAATGGTAAATTATGTACCAATCACCATGAGCATAGCAGCACCTCTTCATTCACAATATAGTCAATTTCTTAGTATAATGTGTAGCAATGAGGAAAAAATTCATACACCATTACAAAATCATGTTACTCTCTTCTTGAGACTGGATATTAGTTTAAAGTTCAATACGGATGCTGCTTTTCCTCTCATAAATGCTCTCCTTTATAATTTTAAGCTGTCATCATTTACAAATTTGAAACTCGAATTTAAGAAATTCATAGTCAACTTAATCTAAAATGTTAAGGTATATATTTGGAGAAAACAATTAGGCTACAGGCACCCTCTGCCACCATAGCCAACAAATAAACAAGGAATCGCTAACATCTGCATTCCATAGCAATTTTCATGGTCACTTTTCAACTATTTATGATCACCTATCATTGAGAATCAAGCAGGAAATACAACAAATACCTGAATCTCTTTTGGAAAGGTGGCACTAAACAGCATGGTCTGTCTTTCACCGCGAGGAGGCATATCCATCTGTTCCACTATCTTTCTGATTTGGGGCTCAAAACCCATATCCAGCATTCTATCCGCCTCATCAAGAGCCAAATATCTTATCATTTGTAATGAAACTTTGGCTCTCTCAAGCAAATCAACCAATCTTCCTGGAGTTGCCACCAGAATGTCAACTCCCCTCTCAAGTTCACGCAGCTGCACACAAATTAATGACACTTAGTCCCCTGTACGTAGTATCAAATGTGACAATTTTTTTAACTTTTGAGAGCCTAAAATCTTCAATGAAGTGTCTAGTCAAAACCTGATATGAACTAATCTCAGAATACCAAGGACTACAACTAAAACCCAAATGACACAAAAAACTAAATCATGTCTAATGATTTACCAAATATATACATTGGTGTATGAATTCTGAGCTAATAAAATAAAGAGTCAAAACTTTGAAAATCGCCACTGACAAGTTACTTTCCACCAAATTGCTTCCCTTGTCTCAGGACCCATAGTTTTTAGATTTTTTTCTATCAAGTGTGTCATTTAGTAGCCAGAGAGAAAAAATGGACGACGTTATCTTTCAGCTATAGATAGTAAAAGTCCTCCTTTCTTGAGTATCACATATAAGGAAAATATATAGCATGACATTTGACAATTGAAATCAATAAATGGCGAGATTGGACCAATATATTAATGCCAAATTTTGAAAATGTACCAAATGGGCAGTGACATCACCAAAATAGATTAGTACTAAAAAAATTAAGGGAGGGTGAGTGGATAATTCTCCTTTAACATTGTAAATTATAGCAGGATAATACATAGAATTTAATAATTTAACATACTCGCCTTAGAAATGAGATGGTTAAAGGAGTGTAATGGTTTACGCAGGTATCCTTGTGACAAAAAACCGAATTAAACATCATAGATATCTATCAATCAGAAATGATACAAATGTTTATGGAGAGAGAGAGAGAGAGAGAGAGAGACCTAGTATATTTATAATTTGCTAGCTTCTTGATCTAATGCACTAAAATAATTATTTACATGTTTACTAATCCTTTTTGTATAATTGCACTTAAAACATCATATACATGGTGCTCATAACAGGGCATAACTATCTACAAGTTGTAATGTAAACACATGCATTAAAAGGTAACATTGACCAGATACTTCTGCTTTGGTCCTTCGACATGAATGATGCAGTAATGATCATGTGTCAACCACAAAATGGAACAGAAAATAACAAACATAACACCAACACGAACCTGCTGATTTATCGGTGCTCCACCATAAACAACAACTACTCTGACACCAGTTTGGTAGGAAAACTTTTTAGCTTCCTCATGTATCTGCAGGTGAAATGCAAAATAGCCGTCAATGTTTCCTATTTAATAAATTAAACGGAAAAAAAAAACAAATGGTGAATAGCAAGCAATAAATTATCATTGCATGAGAGGCCCACCTGTATTGAGAGTTCTCTTGTTGGCGCAAGAATAAGAGCTAGTGGATAAACAGTGCGAACTCCACGTTGTCTTTGAGGAAGCTGACCCCTCATAATTCCACTAATGATCGGGAAGCAAAATGCGGCTGTCTTGCCTGAACCAGTCTGAGCACAAGCCATCAAATCCCGTCCTGCTAGTGAAATGGGTATTGCGTGCCTTTGAACAGGAGTTGGTTTCACATATTTACACCTGCGGATATTCAAATTCAGTGCATCCCCCAAATCTATATCTGCAAATGTATTCACAGGTGGCGGCACATTATCCCCACTCGTCTCCACCGGAATATCCTCATAAGCATCAAAGTTAATGCCAGTGTTCTCCTGCTGGTTAAACACATTCTCTGCTTCAGTTTCCACCTCATCGGTACCAAAAGGATTGACCTCCCGATCCCTACCACCCCAACCACCACGGCCGCCCCAACCACCAATTCCACGACCGCCACCACCAACACCAACACCAACACCACCACCACCATATCCCTGGCGGCCAGAATCAGGCCTAGGACCAGCCCACCGGGAGCCACTGGTGGGCCCACCATAACCAGACCTATCATTACCAAATGGTGGCCCACCAAGTGATGGTGCTGGTGGCTCAGAGGCAGGAGGCCTGTTCCTAAGGTGCGGCGGAACATACGCAGGCTTAGTCGGAGCTGATGGGCGTTCACTCCCACCACTAGGCCCAGCATTATCAGTAGATCCAGTAACTACATTATCAACAGCATCTGCCCATGAACTCTTCATTTTCCTATGGTAATTCTTCAAAAATATTTCTCAATCGAATTACAGAAAATCTGCGATCCCAAAAACTGTAGATAAGTTAGACTTTGAAGTTATCAATATGTTCAAGAAAAACAAGGAAAAAAATATTAGATCGGGCATCGTTTGGTACCAAAAAAATCTAAAAAAACTTTTCCTCCTAGAAAATGTGAGGAAACATAAATCAATACAAAAAGAGAGCGGCAGTTAGTAAATGCAAGCAAACTTTCGGAGTTAAAAAAAAAATAACAACAATCGGAAACAGATGCCGAGATAGACAAAAATACAACTGAAACTCGGATTGCGTCTGTATAATGTGTGAGCACAAACATAAATGGATAGATAGATAGAGGTATATGCATGACGAAGAAAAACACATCGAGGTGCGCGTGTGAGTGTGTATGTAAATGCAGAGTGGTGGAAGGGAACCTGCGAGCGAGATCAGCAAAAGGTTTTGGCCTTCGGAGTAAATCGATTTTTGCGGTAGAGAGAAGAAATTTCAAAACCCTAGCCAGGAGAAAATATAGGAGGAGCACAAAATCAGACAAAAAGCGAAATAATAGAGAGAGAGAGGATTTCAGATTTACCCCTCTTTACTTTTACTTTTACCCGACTTTACTACGACTCTCTAAAGTCTAAACTGTTAAACGTGCTTCTGTTTCCATGCCCCCGGTCATTGGAGTACAACGCCTTATATTTTCTTAGGAAATTAGTATAAATTCCTAAACAATTAAAATTACATTATGAAGTTGGATATTTATTTAAAATTAAATAATATACACTTTCTTTATTTATTTATCAAAATTATTCTAACTAAGATCTTCTTCTTCTTCAAACGGCGCCACCTACCACCTATTATTCTTTCTTTAGGGCGGCGATCTGGTGAGTGTTACATGCGAGTTGTATGTCGACAACTTTCTTGATGCTTTAGTGCACCCTTTAGTGCAAACACTTTAGTGCACCTCGATGCTTGCCATTCATCGGGCTTTGGCTTGATGGACTCAGTTCTAATCAATTGTTGGGCCTTGGCCCACTAATTTTAGGTTGGGGAGGGTTCGGCCCAATATTGCGGCACCAACCCCATCAAGATGTTTGGTGGTCTAACTTTGGGATTGGGCTCTGTGTATGAAAGAACACATAGATAGAACTTCCTAGTAATGCATGGTAGTAACAATGCTAATTAATTCCTTTCTATTATATATATATATATTAAGTGCTTGTGCATCAACTAATTAAGTTCACATCTTAAAACATTGAGGTGTGTTTTTTATTCAACAATATGATCAAGAATGTAGGTGATCTTGAGATGTTAATATTGCACTCACTCCTCTTTCAGAAACATATTCTTGGTTTAGTTTATAACAACAACACCAACAACATGTTCTTAATTGCATATAATATACTAGTTACTCCAAATGTGGTTTCTTGCAGAAGCAAAGAAACCGAAACATCATTTACGTACATACGGCCACGGGTATATATATATATATATATATTATCACGATCAAACCATAAACGGAGAAAGTACGTAGATAAAACAGTAGATAGTGTTTTACAGAAAGAAAATGGATATTCAACTGTTGAGACCTCTTCCCTTCATGACGTGCCTCCTCAAGCCCGGAATGTGAACATTACTTATATAATCCTCCCAATCTATCTTCTCCACATCAAATCCAAACTCTTGTCTCTCTTCCTTTGACATACACCCCATCAATCTTTTCGTGTTGCTGTTATCGAACCTGAATAATAATAAAAATTCAACATTAAATTTCGTGAAACCAGTGTAAATGTTGATATATTTTTTTAATGTTTACCTTCCACCGTAGAAAGTGTAGGACTCGTAGATGTTAGCCAAGTACTTAGCTTGCTCGACCGATTTTCTACAGATGGTTTCGAGTTTTTGGGACAACTTGCCGTCAAGGTTGGCCAAAGCGCCTAATCCAGTTCGATTGATAGCATGCCTCCATAGGTGAGAGGAGAAATCTTCCATGGAGTGGAATAGCTTCATTTTCGGAACACGAACTGGATTCCCAGTTGAATCCATGAAAGGCGATGAATTGAAGTGCTGGTACAATAAATCAGCCAAGTCCCTAAAAACTAAGGGGTTCACAACAGATGAAGCAACTTGATATATGTTGTATTCTGGTTTTCCAGCTTCACCATGCTTCGCCATGGCTGCCAGAGTCGCATTCACAACCATATCTGCCGGAACCTTAATCAAGAAAGAAAAACCCAACTTTTTTAGTTACAGATATACACACACACACACACTTGTGTGTAAGAAGATGTAACAACTTACTACATCAAGAACTCCATTGGGGTCGACGAGGAATCCAGTGAGCTGTCCTTTACCGTATTGGAGAATGATTGGATCCATCATTCTGCAGGAATATGTATGTATGTAATTAATGTGAGAGTTGAGTGAAAGATGAGAAAATTAGAAATAGTTTTTAAAAAAAGGGTTGGGTTGGGTTCGAGTCGAGGGACCTGTTTCCTTCCATCCAACCAGGGAAGGGTTCTTTGTAGGTGCTCTCAATAACACTTGGTCTTATTACAACAACAGGTACCTCACCCCTTAAATTATCTATCATCATTTCTCCCATTGCCTTTGTGAATACATATGTATCTTGCCACCCATATTTCTTTGCCCTGACCATATTCAATACCATCGGTTTAATTAATCGTATCACAAAAAATGGGTTATATAATAATTTTGTTACAACTAATTACCTCTGCATGCCTAATTCTTTCATTTTGTGAAGAAGTGAACTGTCTTGGAGGGATTGTTTGGATTCAACAAGTAACTTGATCTCATCCTCAACAATCAAATTGGGAAGTGATCCATTGTGGAGAACCGCCTCTGCTGATATACTTTCTCCGGCGCAGAAAGGCTTCTCCATGATTCTGCCTTGCCTTTGTCCATTTACATAAGCTGAAATAAATAACATTAATATGAAAAGTAAGTTTGATGATTGAAAGTTGGACCTGTTGATACTTATAGAAGAAAAGAATAGAAAACTAGCCTGTTGATACTTGTAGGAAGAGCTTAAGTTTAAGGCACTGTTTGGCAAAACCAATGAGCCTAGTGGGTCCACCAGTGTTTATATCCAGAGCTGTATCATACCTGCAAATTCACCATATGCATGGGGATTAATAAAAGAAAGAAAAAAATGACAAGTCATGTGTTTGTCAAGACTCAAGAACGTACCTTTCATCAAAAGTGGTGTTAGCAGCAGAATTGATGATGACGTCAAGCTCATTGGTCATAAAATCAAAAGTGTGTTTGTCAAGACCAAGATTAGTTTCACAAACATTACCAACCACAGGAATCAGCTTACTCAACATGAAACCTTGGTAACTTTTCCCATGCTTTTCCTTTAGATTCTTGAATAGCTCTGCATTTATCACCTACACTTACATTTCTCTACCAATCACACACTTGTCTTTTTTTTCTTTGAAAAATAATAAAAATAATAATAAATCAAGAATATATCGATCATCACATACTTCATTCTTCAATCTCTCCAGTGCAGCTTCACTGTTCTTTGCCTTGATCAACACATACATCTTTTGAACATCAGGTGCTGTCCTCAGCATTTTCTCAATCAGAACTGATGTTCACACAACAAACAATTTAAATTTACTTTTATTCGACATATAATAATATGTAAACAGACGAATAAACAGAGAGAAGAGGAGAGCACCTTTGCCTAAAAATCCAGTTCCACCAGTAATGAGAAAGGTCTTCCCTTTGAGAAACTTGACAATGCCAATACTACCCTCGTCGTGCATCTCCACTTGTCCCGGGCTTAAAACTAGACTTGCGGGCCCCATCAAAGCAGGCGAGCTAACCAACGGTGACGGTGATGATTCTGTCAAAACAGATGATATCCCACTCGACTTTATTGCATGATGATTGTTGTTAGTACCGCTTTGACAGCTTATCACACTCATCTTATTTTTCGAAAAAGACAACGACTGTTTGACTTTCACAATGGCGGAGATGGAGGAGGAACTCAGAGAGATAGCCTCCATTGTTGCAATGGAGATGGAGGAAAAGAAAAGTGTAAAAATTAGATTGTTTGAAGAGAAATGGTTTGGTTTAGCAGAGTTAGCTAATCAACTTTTTTTTAGTAATAAGATAAGAGTTTGGTATAGATTAAGAGAAAGGTAGAAAGGTGGGGAATGAGAAATAAAGAATAGTAGTAAAATGAATTTAAGGGGGTGAGGAGATGAGAATTAGGAGAATAACAAGAAGAGGCTCTCTTTTTGCCTCTTCACACCCTCATTAATTGCTTAATACTATTTATTATCTTTATTTTCTTTTTTCTTTCTGTTTTAACATAAATAAAACTCAATCTTTTACCATATCATTTATAGAGGTGGGAGTGAACCAGAATAAAGGGCGTGATAATTAATTAAGATAAGAAGATATTCATTCATAATAAAATATTGGTGGAATATATATAATAGTTAGTTGAACCTTGCTTAAATACAGATGAACTAAGTTAGATTAATTATTAACCAATATAAAAGTGACACCACACCCGTGCAAGGAAGAAATGGATCGATGTATGTGTGTTTGATCTGTCTATAATAGTAAACGAGTTTGCTAACTAACTACTATTCTCTACTGTATCTGTAATTCTGTATCTATATTGATGATAACAAAATGATCTCGATTTATAATGGGCTTCCACTCAAAAAGCCCATAAATAAGCACAAATCATTCAACAAACCTCTTACTTATTAAATTACTCCAATTAAGCTGACTTAATATATGTGAAACACATAATTAATACATTATTAGTATTATTTATTTTACACACATCCATCATCCACACACACTGACACACACATATATATTACATATGTTGAAAGAAGTGATGCAAGTGAAATAAGATCCGGTCCATGAGTTGAGCAGGTTGCACACAGAGGACGTTGACACCAACACCATCATCATCAGCCTCACCATTCAGTATGACGAAGCACATCTGCAAAGGGTCGACCAACGGCCCAAAGTGGACCGATTTCCCCCATGGGAACACCACTCTATCGAACCCTAACCCCGACCATGGCGTCAGCAGCACATCCTCTCCACAAAGAACCTTTCTCTTGATCTCCCACCAGTCTATCGTCACTCCTCCAGATTCCACGCCGTACTCTTCGTTAGCCCTATTTATCCCTTCCCCCACCATTTCCACTAGCTTCGAGAACGCCCACTTCTCGATGTCCTCGCACTTCGCTGACGCGTAAGCCACCCCCACCGCGTTCCCACAATATTCCGGTGGCAACGGCGGTTTCACCCTTGACCTCACATCCAACACGGTGACGATGGTGCTATCTTTATTATCATTAATGCACGGAGAAGAAAGGGCTCTGCACCGCCATAGGAGCGCTGCCACCACGTTGAATGTGCTGATCTTTCCCGATTCAATATTATCAGCTGCCGCCTTTGCCTTCAACAAATTTATGTCGCTTGAGCTTAATTTCACGACTTTGAAGTCAACATTATCAATATTTTGGTCATTGGGCGGCGGCGGGGGCGGCGAGGGTTGTGGGAGTGGGACGTGCGGCGGCAATCTGACGGGGAGGAGGCGGCGATCGTTGATGGGGACGAACGGCAGTGGTCTGTCGTCATCAAATGCCTGCGACGCCAGATTTTCTCTGAACATTTTGGCAGCTAATCCATCAAGCAAGACGTGATCGTTCGACATTCCAAATGCAAAACCACCGCAGTTGAATGATGTGACCTACATGCACGTTAATTGTCGAAATTATAAAAAAGTTTGCTAATCTAGAATTTGCTGTACTGTTGCACTAAACACTAATTAACTAGTAACCTGAAAAACACAAAGGGGCTGTTTATCATCATCCAAACCGGGCAACTTATCGACAGCAAGCTGTTGAAATGCAGGATTGGGAGAGAGCAAATCACCCAATTCTTCAAGGGTAAATTCAGAAGAAGCGAAAACGAAGCCTGCTCCCTGCGAATTGCAGTCAATCTCGAGGCGGCCTGATTGGTGGTTCCATTTGAGTCTTCCGGCCATAAAATCATAAGGCACAAGCACCTTCTCGACAGCCATTTTGAGCCTTCGGGCAATTGATTCAGGTGGATAATCTGGATTGGCTTTGAAGAAGTAAGCTGTTTGGATATTGTAACAGAGGAAGTGGTCTACATCGGACAAAAAGAAGGATCTTTTCTGAGTTTGTTGTGATGGAAACACCAGTTTTGATTCTTCGATTTTGACCTTGAGGTCTTTCATGGCAGGGTTGGGAGATATTATTTTCATGGCAGCTATCAATCTTTGATTCTAAATGAAGGAATGCAAATCTACTACAAGAGGGAGACTTGTTATCATTGCATTATGCAATAATGTTGTGTGTATATATATACATATACAAGACTTGCCTTAGATTTCGGCAATCGGATTTGATCGATGAAAAAATTCCAAAAGTGATAAATGAATTGGCAGAAATAGTAAACAGATTTGTTATTATGATGCATGCATGTGTAAGCATTTGACTAATATATATAATTCGTCCAAAACTGATGATGAATTGTATATTAATTATTAATAATAGGTATGGCAGAGAGAATGAAGTCAAACATAAATATGCATCAATTTTTGTTTGACATCAACTATGCTGACTTATCAAATCAATATTGAGTCACTGAGTTTGGCTTAGCGGTGATAGCGATACAGTTAGCTAGTAGCGGTGATATGTACTTGACTGCATTTATAGTTGTATGACCAAATTGCAAAAATATTAACTTAAACGACATATCCCTATAGAGAAAACTGCTCAAAATCTTAAAGTTCAAAACACATAATTCCCTTCAAAACCTTGGATTTCTCATAAAATGTATGGACCTTTTGCTTTAACCAGTGTACTAAATGATGAAGTGACAAAAGGAAGAAATGACTTGTATTGGCAAAACAAATACCATATCGAATTCCAAGCAAAAACGAAAAGAAAAGGAAAAGAATGTGAATAAGCATCATGGCAAGAAAACAAGACAAACCTCCACAAACGAATCCATTCTACAGTTGCATCAACGCTAATCCTCATCCGAATCAAAGTATTCATCACTCACCTCCACTTCTTCTTCTTCTTCTTCATCACTTTCTTCTTCCTCTTCCCCTGCATCCTCTTCCACACCCTTATCAACTAAACTGTCTAGATTATGCATCATCATATCAGTCGCTTTATTTCGATATATCAATCCAGTTCTCATAACATAGTGTAGTTTATCTCTGTGTCGAGCAAGTGGATGTGGATCAACCAATCTCCCCCGACGGTACCCCTCTCTCAACGCCACAGTCGTAGTCTTGCATTTCAACGATAGGTAGAATATCCCTGGGTATCTCGTAAATATTCGAGTAAACTTGTGAGGAAGATTCAATTCCTCTCTCATGCACCTCAAGTAATTTCTCTTAGTCTTCTTGTAAATAGTCAACCCCAAAAGCTCGTGCAAAACCCCCACAACCCTTTTCTCCATAAGCTCGCTATTGGGGTCGATTCCCCTTGAATCTTCGTACGGAGAAATGTAAGGCAATTTATGAAACTCGTCCATCCATGCTTTCACCTTCTTTTGTGCTCCATAACCCCTTGGGAAACTCATCGGAAACTCTAGTGCAGATTTCCCCCTCTTGAATTCTCTATAACTGGAAATGTCGCTGTTGCCATCGATGCTCCCTCCCGTGCTCTTCTCGTTCATTTTCTGCAACATAGAAACGGAATATTCTTCCCGCCATTGGACAAGCTTCAAGCAATTCAATCCACTGGTTTCCTTAACCACACGAAAATGATCGGGATACTTTCTAATTAAGATTCTATCGAAATCATCGGGCAATCCCAAGTCCCATTTCAATGGATGTAGAGATTGGAAAGGCAGCTGTGACCATTTAAAAAACTAAAATCAGCAATTAAAAGTACATAGGAAAAGAATCCAATTCAGACAATAATTTGAACATTTAGATAGAAAAAGAAGATAGCAATAGCAAAGGGGAGGGTTTCACTCACCATTTTATTCCTGGTCATCATGAGAAGTCTGCAAAGCCTCTCGACAATATCATCTTCACACTCCTCAAACACTTTGAATTCTCTGTCGTGCATGATTTTCCCCAACGGGGCCAATTTGAAACAGGGCAAAGAGGGGTATTTAGGATGAGGGTACTCCTCGAACAGGGTAGGGTACCTCCGCATAAAGCGCATAGTTGGGACGGTGAGACCTAGCAGCTTTTGAGAATCTGCAAGAGATTTTGAGGTTAAGTAACCCGTCGGAGAGCGGACGATGGCGTCTTTGATCAAGGAAGCAGCTTTGATGTCAGTTTGTACGTCGATTATGTGGTCCAGTGACCGGTTTTTCACCCATTTTAATCGGACTTTGGCTATTATTGTTCTGTAATGCTGAAGATTGTGAAGTGAGGATTTTGTTAATAAAACTGAATCCAGGAACTTTGCTTTCGAGTTCATCGCCGCGCGCCGGCGGAGGAATTTGCAGAGGGGAGGGCACACCCCACACTGAACTGAAATTGAAATGTAATTTTTTTTTTACGATTTACGATTTTGGGTTTATTATTTTCAAATGTATTATTTCAATCTATAAAAATGATTTTTATTTTTATTTTTAATTTTTCCTATATTGTCCGTCTGATAAAACAGTATTCAATCATATAATATAAATAGAATTTCTTGATTTTATTTCTGAGTAAAGGGTAAAACAAATAAGAAACAATCAAAGTGGAAAATTCAAACTCACTCAGTATGAATATCTCAGAAAATGGAAAACCTTAATTATATGGCATTATTAGCAGCAGCAAACAAGTTGTATTCTTGTTCGATTGAATCCGAATTCTTATTGCAGGGATGATTACTACCAACATCATGTCGGACTTAAAATCTGTTGAAAGAGAGAAACCGTTATACCCCAAGACTTGGATTTTTCCTCATATCAGCAGAATGTTTTTCATTACAATGCACGTACTGCCTGCCGTTGATATGCCGTCTCGTTCTTCTTTTAGCAAACCTATTTCGGCAACAATCGTATAATGTGCCTTTGTGCTAGCTCCATTAATTAGCCTGAGGCACCACAGGCACACGATGAACAATATTAAGTAATGGGGCGGGCAGATGCTATAATAATGGTTACGTTGTTTGACATTGGATACTAATGCCGGATCGGAGCCTGAATAATAACGGGATAATGCATGTTTTGATTATGCATTTGCTTGACAATATGTGGGAGTAGCTGCATGCGACGAATTTGTTCTTCCTTTGCTTTTACCATCCTGCCCTCTCGTTGTGCACTGTGACAATCAATGAACAATGCAAATCTACTTCATTGCAGCGTTCATCCATTTTAAAAACCCGTAGAGTACTTATATAGCAAAGCCTGAATGCTTGCTTTGCTATATAAGTACTCTACGGGTTTTTAACCCTTCCCCTCAACCCAACATTAATTTTCAAACTCCAAAATATCAGATTTTCCTTCAAAGTGATCATATGTTCCAAAACATCTAAAAACGTTTGACGCCAATCAGCCTGAACTGTATGACCAGAAACCTGATATTTACGACAGAAGATTTGTCACAAGCAGTATTGAGCGAACTATAACATGAACTCACATCACATGCGATTACATCATCGATGCAGTTTTCATTATACAAGAACTGAATTTGTAAAATAATGGCAGCATCATCAAAATATGCAGTTCTCAGATAGTCCCTTGTTTCATCAAATTCTATCACAAATTCACCTGTATGGATTGGGGATTGCACATCAAATTCAGATACTCCCTTCTTTAAATCATATATATGAAACACTTGTTGCTTCTCTAATTAATGTTTGATGGGCTTTACTAGTTTATTTCCTTGGTCTAATTGGTTCGGGTATGGATATTTATTTTGGGTCAAGCCCCATATATCAAACTATTTATCTAAACTCATCCTAATAAATATTCATGTCTTTCAAATTCAATTCCAAATACTACTTTTTAAGGCTTTACCATACACACACACATACCTCAAGTACTCAACTAAATTAATGTTGTTAAACAAACAAATATGGAAACAATATACTCACTCCTTTTATAAGATGGTTACTAATTAATTACTAGGAGTACTTATTAGTACTACTAGTGTCTTGTTTTGGCACTTTGTTGAGTTTGGACCCAATTAATTATGTGTCTCATTATCCAACTTACTTTAGTCTATACGAAATAATACACTAATTAAATTAATTCATCATACAATTTATATACAAAAAATAAATAAATATGTCAGCATCAAAATCTTGGATTTTTCAATAATTAACTGGAAGGCCAACAAGCAATTAGGGTGTGTAGTGTATTAGCTACTTCGGAGAATGGTTAGAAAAGGGATTTTCAACTAGCTTGCTTTGTCCTCTTTTCATTTAATTTTAGGACCACTTCTTTCTAAATAATGCCAAAATTATATATATATATATATATATATATATATATATATATATATATATATATATATATATATATCAATACTTCCATTCCAAAAGGCCCCACTAATTTATTTATGGACTCTCTGACATTTTTCTCATATAGAGTATTTATTTTCCTTGTTGTTGAAATTAAATTTGAGTAAATAATAAGCAATTGCAATAAACATGGTCCAATGTCAAGTCACAATGTTACACTGCCATCCGATAGTGAGGCTGCAGAAATGATTGCAAAAACTAGGACGAAAATTAACATGCTACATATATATTTAATATCCCTATTAATTAATTAATATTATATATATATAGGCATTCTTGCAATTAGTATGATATGGGCTCGTTTGACAAATAACAAATAAGCATAAGCCCATTAGGGTAAGCCCAATATGATAGGCCCATAATGAAGAACCCATGATGACTTAGTTCGGTACTATGAGCGAAGTCGTCGTATGACGCGAACCTCGGAACCTCGTGGGAGTACCTTCACTCGTCAGCCCAATACCAAAACGGGGTAAGGCGAGCCCAGGACAATACAGGCCCAAGATACATGACTTGGGGGAAAAGAGAAACCCTAAAAAAGGAAAGCCTTGGAGGCCAAGCTTTCCTCATCTATAAATAAGAGAATCAACATACGCACACACAGGAGAAAAATATACACTAATCACTGTTACATTGCATACACGTTTTTTCCTCTATTCCGATCACTGACTTGATCGTCGGAGCTTCCCCGCCGGGAACCCCTCCCGGCGTTGCAGGTTTATCCACCGGAGTACGGACGGAGCTGGCTTGAGGAAGACGAAGACCTACGGACTAAATCAAGTGGCGCCGTCTGTGGGAAAACCTTTATAAGTTTGGAGCACAATTTCCAGGAAAAACACAAGATCTGCCCCTGGAAATCCAGATCTGAGTTAAGAACGTAGAGAAGAAATGGAAGAAGAAGGCACGATTACCCGAAACCTACAAAGGGAGCTGGATGCAGCAGCTCGTGACACAACTGGTGCTGATCCATCGTCCGTTCAGAAAGATAAGTCGGGGTGTAGCTTCCTTACACCTGAAAAGGAGGGTCGGATCCCTTTCACCCCAAGCAGCCCCTCTTTCGAGTTCCAGGATGGCGAAGCTGTTTCAAGAAGGCCAGCCGCAACCCCCGCTCAGGCTCCCAATGAGCGTACATATACCCGGGACGAGGTGGAAACCATGATTACCGCGGCCATCCGAAACTACACCCAAAATTTACCTCACGATAACCGACTCAGAAGAGATCCCAGACGTTCTCCGAACGAAGGACGAGCTGAGGACGAGGGCGATAGTTATTCGGAGAACCGAAGGGGTAATAGTCAGGGCGTTAGAACAGAAGTCGACAGTTTAAGACGCGATATAGATGAGTTGAAGGCCTTGCGAAGTGGGCCAGCGCGAGATCTCGTAAGATCTAGCCCTTTCGCTAGTTATCTCGATAGCGACCCTATACCGGCTAACTACCGACCGATCTTGTTTGAGTACAACGGCACGTCAGATCCAGCCGAACACTTGAGTCGGTTTAACAACACTGCCTCACTTCACCAGCTCACAGAAGGGGTGAAGTGCCGTGCCTTTGTCACCACTCTAGCAGGTCCGGCCCAAGCATGGTTCGGTCTGTTACCTGCCGGAACCATCCGATCTTTTGAACAACTTGCCAAAGCTTTCATGAACCAGTTCGCTAGCTCGAAGAAGTGTAAGAAGACCTCTCTGTCACTATTCAGCGTTCGTCAGAAAGAGAAAGAAAGCCTCAGGAGTTACATCAAACGGTTTACCTCGGCCACCTTAGAAGTCCCGACTACCAGTGACGAGGTGCTCATGGCGGCCCTTTCACAAGGGTTAAGAGATGATGAATTTTTCCGAGCTCTAGCGCTGGAGCCATCACCTGATTTCGATAATTTGTTAGAAAGGGCATCTAGGTTCATTAACTTAGAAGAAGCCCGCCAGCAGAAAGTAGAAGAATCTCACCAAGCCACAAGCGTGCGGGTCAGCGAAGTGAAGAGAGGCAAGGAGTCCATGTTACCTCGTAGGGATGTCAATGTTCCCAGTCGGAGCATCGCCCCGGATGCTAAAGGATCTCGATTTCAATCATACCAGCCCCTTACAGCTCCTCTATCCCAGGTACTGTACTCAATCGAGAAGAGAGCCGATCTTCGGTGGCCTCGAACCGCCCGCGGAGCCCCCCGACGAGACCCTACACTGGGAACCTTTTGTCGTTTCCATAATGAGTATGGACATACGACAGACGATTGTGCACATTTAAAAGACGAAGTGGAACGTCTCATCAGAGACAATAAGATCGGAGAATTTGTGAAGATAGACCCACCTCGTGGGCAAAAGCGTGAGGCCCAGTTCGGAAACCCGCCACGAGCACCGCCCCCACCGCCAGCACCGAAAAGAGGGTACATTCAGATGATTTCGGGAGGTCCTACGGGAGGAGATACTCACCGGGCTAGGAGACGCCATCTCGGTAGCCTCAAAAATAATCATGAAGTTTGCCAAATCTCTACACCGAAGTATCGTCAATATCCCACTATCTCGTTTGGTCCTGAAGATGAAGCGGACCTAGATGATTTCCATTGTGACCCTCTCCTCATCACGATTAACGTTGGAGGGTACGACGTCGCTCGCGCCTTCGTTGATCCAGGAAGTTCGGTGGATGTCATATCCTACGAGTGTTTCCTGCAAATGGAGCTTGACCTCCCGATCTTCCCCGTCACCACGGCGATATTCGGGTTCACGGGGGGATCCCTGACGCCGGTTGGACAAGTTAAAATCCCTGTCACTATAGGAACGCCACCTCGAACACGCACTCAAACTGTCAATTTCGTCATTGTCGAAGGATCGCCAACCGCGTATAATATCGTGATAGGACGACCGATGTTACATACCTTTCGGGCGGTCCCTTCGACCATTCATCAAAAGCTTAAGTTTCCAATTGATGGAATGGTAGGAGAGGTCAGGGGCGATCAAGCCCAGTCGAGATCATGTTATGTTGAGATGGTCAAGATAGCAGAGAAGGGGCGACGTGACACTCTCACCAAAGAAGATTTGGGGGACGAGAAACGCCCCCGAATTGA